CAGCAGGTCATGGGCGAGCTGTAGGGTGGCACAGACCCTCTGCAGCTGATGTGGGGTGAGCTATAGGGTGGCAGAGCCCCTCTGCAGCTGATGTGGGGTGAGCTGTAGGGTGGCACAGACCCTCTGCAGCTGATGTGGGGTGAGCTGGAGTGTGGCAGGAGTTGGCTGCATGACTCCAGTACAAGGCATCACCATGAAGAGATCAAAGCCACAGCCTGTCACAATCCAATCTTGCAGTTCCTCTGAGGATTCTGGGAAGCCTCAGCCACTCATAACCCGTGTGTGCTTCAAGTGACTGTCACTGCAAGCAAAAATCAAGTAGTTGGTGACTTGTTGGGAGTTTGTCATGGTTTGTTACACCCTCAGCTCATCTGCAGGCTTTGGGTGCACACAGCAGCCCCCAACCAGGGATCCAATGGAAAACTTCTAAATGTGTTAACTGTACTAGCTAATTAGTGGCTTCTTTTCTTTACTTTTCCTTTTTTTTTTTTTTTTTTTTTGTCATTACTTAGAGTCAGGATTAAAAACACAAAGGAGATGAATTTTTCATGTTCGGACTTGGCTGTTTATTAAATCTTATTTAAAGTACAGAAAGTTCTGCAACACTTCTAGCCACCAGCTAAAAGTGAGCAAAATGGAGACAAATCTAGTCAGTTACAAGGTCTTGCAAAGCTAAACAGTCCAATAAAGCACTAACACCTATATTATTTATACTTTTGACCCAATAACCAAACACCTGTGACCTGCAGTACAGCACTAACTATCCAACCAAAAACTACTGCCTGAAAGTTGGAAGAAGAAGGGAGAAGACAGAAAGAGACAACACCCAAGAACATCCATCTTGTCCCATACCTATTACTATATTCTAAAAACATCAAAACCCTTCACCATGTGAAATCACACACTTCTAACTACACACCCGTGATTTTAACTCCATCACTCAAATTTGGAAGCCTTCTCCAAGGCCTCAGGTCAAAAGCAGTGTTCTCCAGAGGGTCAGTGTCACAAAGCACAGAAAGTTCAAAACTCCCAGGTTTCTGGATTCCAACAGAGACACACAAAGCTCAAGGGTCAGGAGGCAGCAAGAGACCCAGATTTCTCCTCCTGGCTGAGCTCAGCTCCCAGATTTGCTACACTGGAAGCTGATGGTCTTCCCAGCTCAGGAATTGTCTGTGCACACATCCTGCCAGGGCTTCCCTGGTGCCTCTTCTCCAGCAGCAACACAGGCCAAGGAGGAACATGACTAAGGCTTTAAGTATTGATTCCTCAGCACTCCTTCCAGACCACAAACATTCCAGTGAGACTTCACAGAGGGTGAAACAGTAGTGTAATGCTTAACAACTGGAGTAGTTTATATGTAATAAAAAATGGTGGTTGGTTTTTTTTTTTTAAATATAAATAATGTAAGTGACTTAAAGTTAGGAGGGATGGCTGGGACACCACACTTACTGAGGTTTGCCAACATTTCTTACTCAGGCTCATCTCCTAACTGCTTTTAGTTTCCTGTTTTCTGGTTGCATACAGCTGTGCCAAGCTTGAACTACTGGACTGGAATTCAGCTTGGGTGGTTCCTACTGGAGTTTTTGGATGGATGGCAGGGAGGTGGAGAATTTCAACTCAAAGCCTTTTGGTTGTTATTTTAAAATTTCACTCAAAACCCCGCATTATTCATCTCATATTAAGAAAAAGGCCAGAAAGATTCTTCCAAAGATTTGAGTAGTGGCTCGGTGTTGCACCTCTTACATATCTGCATTTTACCTTCACTTTGAGAAAGTCAAAATTTGGCCCATGTTGGGTTTTCAGTATTTTTGGGATCACGTTGTGGTTTTGCTCAGGAGAGTGTTGGTAGTTTTGTAAGTCAATTCCTGGAACATGCTTCATTGGCTTGGCCCTGCTGTCAGTGCATGGCAACACCAAGTGCCTGGGACTGATTTTCCCCTCCTGGATTTGGTGGCAAAGATTTACTGCTTTTCCCTCTTAATTTGGGATGGCAGATGAACAGCACAGAGGAGACTTGGCCCACATGTGTGAACCTGAGGACTGTCCAGGGGCTTGTTTTGGGAAGGCTCAGCTCCTGCTGCCCCAGGTGGGATTCTGGGCTACGGGAGGCTGATGTGCTGGTGGCCCAGGAAGTCTAGGCCAGCCTTTCTCTTGTCAGGCTAGTGGAGAATGAAGCTGAAGGCCTGCAAGGGCAAGGCCAAGAGAGAGTATAAGCAGATCCCTCTGCAGGGACTGGACACTGCAGACATCTGCTGCTCCGTGGGCTCTTTCCAGGCACTGGAAAGCAGGTGGCACATCTGGACCCTGATCCACCCATCACCTCCAGCAGCACACAGGCAGTGGTGCTCTGTCTTTTTGTCTCCATCAACTCTGTGCAAGTCTCTGAGCTCAGGCAGCTGTGTGCAGGGGACACACCATCTGTGGTGACCTGGCATGGTCCCCCAGCCTGGGGTCACCTCAGGGGGACACATCACTGTCCATCCCTGCGTTGTGCAAAACACTCTGCAAGAGAAATGCTGCTACATCAATCACTTTGATAGCTCAGATTTGCTTGCATTTAGCTCAAAGACCTTTAATGTGGCTCTTGTTTGTTGGTGGGGCTGGGGAGGGGTTGTTGGGGGGGATCAGTCCAAAACTCAGGTATCTCACTCTGTGGACCTGATGGGTGAAATTGGACATTCTGTGGGCTCACATCGACAAGTTTCTCTTGAAACCTGCAACCACAGAGTCTCTTTGCTCCACTTTAGCTGGTTGAGGGGGGCTTTGTAAGGAAAGCTGCCAGAAGCCCTGTGTAAGGAATACTCTTGCACTGCCATGTCAGAAAACCCCAGAGAACCAGAGCATGCTGAGCAAAAAGCACTTGCAGAGCTCTGCCAAGGAGCCCTGGGATGGGTCTGGGAAACAGCCTGGTGGAGAGGAGCAGCAGGGTGGCAGGAAACCAGCAGGATTCTCTCTCTGGGCTGGGTCTCACTTTCTCTGCTCCCTTGTTGCAGGCAGGGGCCGTGCAGGGATCGGCTGCCATAGGTGTGACCGCGAGGGATGCTCACGGATGCACCTGGAGGAGAGGTAAAAACTGCCAGCTCTGCCTCCAGCAGGGACCTGCCCCACCTCAGGGCAGCCTCAAGGAGTGCCTCACCCCATGCAGGGCTCTGAACTCCCCAGCCCATCACACCTCCCAGCTGTGGGGAGCAGGACGTGGAGAGCAGGGTCTGAGGTCCAGGATTGCCTGGGCTGTGGGATTGGGAGCAACGTCCTGCAGGAATTTGGGTTCCCCTTGGGATCTGTCCTGCTCAGCAGCAGCTCAGCATGTACCTATGTGGATCTGCCCCTCCCCAGGCCACAGAGGGGTGTTTGGGTCCAAATCTCTCCCCTCCTTTACTCAGGTGCAGAGGGAGCTGCTGACCCCTCCACAGGGTGAGAGGTGCTCTGTAAGAGCAGAGGCAGCTGCAGTTCTGCACCCCTTGTTTACAAGAGCTGGTAGAGCCCTGACCTGGCCGAGCAATTAGTGATTTTGCTGCTAATTAAATGTTCAGCTCAGCAAGTGAGAGCACCCAGAGTCTGTTGCTGAACCTGGGCACCCTCCTGGCTGCTCAAAAGTGATGGTTCACTGAGAGGGAAACTGAGGCAGGGAGTTTGAATGATCTGCTTCAGATGTGAGTTAGGAACTGAGTTAGGGGGAGAACCCCAGAGTCCTGTCTGCCTGTTGGCACTGATTAGCCAGGTTTCCTGTGCAGGTGAATCACAGTCACATCACCAAATGGTTTGGGTTGGAAGAGACCTCAGAGATTATCCTCCAACCCCCTGCCATGGGCAGGGACACCTTCCACCATCCCTGGCCTTGGACACTTCCAGGGATGGGGAAGCCACAATTTCTCTGGGCACCCTGTGCCAGGGCCTCATTACCCTCAGAGAGAAAAATTTCTTCCCAATCTCTAATGCAGCCTCTGTCAGTGTGAAGCCATTTGCCCTTGTCCTGTCACTTAATCAAAGTCCCTCTCCAGCTCTCTTGGAGTTCCTTTAGGTTCTGGAATGGGCTCTAAAGTCTCCCTGGAGATTTCTCTTCTCCAGGCTGAACAGCCCTATGAAGACAGATAATATTTTAAAAATATCTGTGAAGACACATATTGCTTAAAACCAAAATCAGCTATTACAATGGCTCAGCCTGGGTGCCATGAAGAATACTCCTGCTTCCAGAAGAGAATTTCTGGTGGCACTTGACTGCAGCTGTGGGAGGTTGTGATGGAGCAGAGCTTGCACAGCCTTGTGGAACTGAGGATAGTTCTTGTAAGACCTTGCAGACTTTGCATCAATGGATCTATTTGCCAATAAAGTGTCTTTCTGTCAAAAAAATACTTCTATCAGTGCAAAACAGTGTCCTTCTCTTGCCCTATAGAGAGAGCATCCCAGGGAATATTCGATCAGGACACTTTTGCCAGAGTTTTAGCTGGCAGCCTGTGACACCCTTCAGCAGTACTTGTGTGTTGGGAAAGGAGAAGTGGTGATCTGGCAGGCAGAAATGCTAAGTCAGCAGGGAGAATCACACAGGTTGGCACAGCACAGCTGCTTAGAACGGTTAGAAAAGAATAAATCACACTTATTGCCCGTTTCACCTATTTCTCCTATTTCTGGAGGGCAGGGAATAGCATCCCAACAGTGAGCCTGGAAAATGCAGCCGTGCCACGTTCCTGTCCCCAGCCCTGGGCACTAACAGCCTGTGTGGGACCTGTCCCCTGTTCTGAGGCCATCTGGGGTTGTGGGAGCAGGAAAGGTCGGTGCCTGTGCCCCAGGGGCTCAGCACCACAACCAGACATCAGAACAGTCCTTCCCTGCTTCTACATTGAGGATGTGAGGTGGGGTGAGGGCTTCAACTTCCCCTTCCCGATGTGTTTTCTTTTCCCTTTCTCTTCCCTTATTTTCTTTCTTTTCCCCTGTAGGTAGCCCCGAGGCTGAGCTGAGCGCGGGGAGGGATCCCGAAAGCGCCGGGGGACAAGGAGCGGACCATGAGCGAGCCCAGCCCCTCGCCTTGGGCTGCCCCCGAGGAGTGCGAGCCGCATTCCCCGGGCTCGCAGCCGCATTCCCCGGGCTCGCAGCCGCATTCCCCGGGCTCGCAGCCGTCCCCGCTGGCCCGCAGCGATGGGGACGAGCAGCCGAGCCCGCCTGCGGAGCCTGCCAGCGGCAGAGCCAGCCCCCGGCACGATGCTCAGCCCTCCCGAGCGGAGGGGGAGAGCGGGGAGCAGCGGCAGGAACATCTGGAAGCGGTGACAGAGCCGGGCGAGAGGCTCAGCGAGCGGCGACAAGGGACAGGCGCTGCCAGCCACAGCGGGGCCGTGCTGGCCAACGGGGTGGACGCGGCGCTGGCCACGGGCCAGGAGCGGCCGCGGGACGGGGACACAGCCGAGCTGGGCGACAGCGGCTCCCCCGGGCCGGAGGTGGCGAGCGGGGCTCTCAGCAAGCAGCGGTGGCACAGCGTGCTGGGCTCCTCGGAAGCCCTGAGCGCTGACGAGGCGGAGGAGCAGTTCGGGTGAGTGAGTTCGGCTCGGTCCTGCTTTGTGTGTGTTGTTTTCGAGGCTCGCTGGTTCCAGTTACTCGGCTCCGTGTGTAACTCGTCATTTTAAGGAGCTGCAGCTGCTCTCATGGCTGACTGTGGCTTTCCGCTCCTGTTTCTCTTTGGGCTCCTCGCGCATTTTTTCCCTGTTTGTAACATTTTACTCTGTTTTCTCTCTGGGCTTCTCGCACAGTTTTTTCCTGTTACAAATGCAAAAAGCTGTGATTAGAGCCAGTGTCTGCTCACAGAGTCACTAAAGTGAAAGGGAAGCTTTTGGGATCTCGAGAGGAGCTGGTTGTGCTCATTTTGGGGGTGTCCCACTTGCAAGTTGGAGACTGAACTGCAGCGCTTGTGGCAGAGTTACCTGAGGTAACTTAGGGCAATTACAGCAGCCTGGGGATGCTGGAGAGCCAGGCTTGTCTAGGAGGCTGGTGTGCCCTGGAAGCCCCCGGCAGCATGGCTAGCTCTGGCAGTCCCTGGGCTAGCAGGTGGCAGCTGTGTATCTGGAAGTGGGCACGGCACTGAGTTGCTCTCCACGGCACCTGTGACAGGTGTTACCAGCGCCTGGGCGACAAGGACAGCAGTGTGAGACAAAAGGTACAAGTGTCATCCAGTTCTCAAGTCCCTGAGACAAACCTGCACGTGTGCAATGTCCCTCAGTCCCTGAGTCCTCTCTTCTGGCAGCCTGGCTCACAGGAGAGCTCTCCGGGCTGGGTAGCACTCACACTGGTGTGGCGTCCACAGCTGATTTTATGCCTCTGCAGGTTTCTAGACCTCCATGGGATTCTGCAGGCTGGGGGCTTAGGGGGAATGACAGATCACTGGGATGAGAAGACGTTCTTCCCATGCCATTCCTGAAGGAGGGGTGTGGATGCTTCCCTTTGCCACCAGAAATCAGCCAGGGCTCTGTGTTGTAGCCGCTCGAGCTGTGAATTTTACAGCCCTACCTGAGCACCTACCCCGGGGCAGGAGAGATGCTGCAAGCAGGAGGAGCTGAAGAAGAGCAGCAGGGGTTGTCCCAGAGGAGCTGTGAAGGGACAGGGTGGCCTGGGGATCTCCTCCTAGCTCTGGCCCCGTGCAGGCTCCATGCTGAGCTGCACGTCCCGAGCACTGTCTGGAGCGTGGGCAGCAGAGCTGGGGGAGCCACGCAGGGCTGGCAGCAGGCATCCCTCCTGCTTTGTTTCTCAGCTGTTGAACAGGCTTCTCTATAAAAAGGTTGATGGTTTGTTTCGCTCAAGAACCCCAGCAAGAAGCAGCAGCACTGCTTCAAAAAGCACAGCTGAAGGTGTTGCAGGGGAAGTGTCCAGGTCAGGCTGCTGCTGTCCCCAGGCAGGTCCCACGAGCCCTGTGAGCTCTGCAGTCAGCTCTTGGATAGCTGCAAGTCTCTCAGGTTTCAAGGGAATCATATTTGCTTGGTAGGTGGCTCCCTGGCAGAGGCTGCAAGTTCAAAAGGAAACTAAAGGTGGTCAGAGAACGCTGCTGCAATCACTGGAAGTGCAATTATTTTAAGGTACTAGGGCATGAATTGGTAGAAGTGGCAGGCTGAGGATTCGGAGATGATGCAACCTGACTGGGGTCTGCCTGCAGAGTCCGTGATCTCGTGCTCTAAACATATTCACTTGGAGAGCAAATCAGTCTTTTGGGAGGCCGAATGCACAAGGGACAAGTCACACGCTATATTCAAAGCAGAAGGGCAGCTGGAAAACTTCTGGGACGCAGCTGAAGTCTGGGAAACCACTTGGTGCCTGTAGATCGTGTTTGCTCACTGTGCTGGAGCTCATCAGTGCTTTGACCATCTATCTTTAAGGTAAATGGCAGGAAGGTGTGGCTGGGCCAAGCACAGCGTGGAGCTGCTCTGCCCTGGCCACATGGACTGTCCAGCTCTCCTGGGTCAGTGTGGGTCAGGAAGAACTGACAGATGGACCAAGGCACCAGGAAGTTGCTGTCATCCTGCATCACCTCTGAGTTTTCCCATTTTTTTCTTTACTCCCCTTTGGGGAATTGCTGTTATGACCCATTCTAGGTATAGGAGGACCTAGTCTGATCTTTTACTAATGAGCAGTCGACTATTTGTTCCTGATGACAAATAATTTGTCATCATCTGCACGTTGGTGGTTGTATGATGTATTTTCTCCCTGAATTTTAAAGTACTTTACAAGAAGGTGTTGAGTCTTGCTCTTCCCACTGGAATGGGGAATTAAAGGGGGAAGTCATCCAAGGTCATCACTGCATGGTAGAGCTGGAGAAAGAACCCATGATTGCATGATTGTCCTCCTGAAGGTAGGTTAGTGCATCTGAGTGGGAAATGGTTGGTAAAAAAAATCAGGGAAATAGAGACAAAGATTGAGTGTTTGTGTTGCAGTTTGCATTAACTGAATCCCCTTTTAAACTTTTCTGGTTTATCCCATGGCATTTACTGTTTGTCAAAGCTCCATTTTCCTTTCCTTGTGGCTGTGTTGCCTAAAGGTCTTCTGCCTTCTCAGAAACTCCCAACACTGGCCCTGCTGATTTCAGGATGGTCACAACTTTGCAGTCCAACTGTGAGATTCACCAGGGAATGCTACTCTCTACTTTTAGCCCCATGAACTCATGGAAAAAGAGCAAAATTTTTAACAGAGCAATCCCCACCTTTTGCTCACAGACACACTCAGCACCTGCAGTTTTGGGACTGCTGCTTTTGCCCACACATTTCCTCCCATGGCAACATATAGCTGTCAAAAAAATTCACATTCCATCAAATAAAACTTCACAGAAAAACTTTGCAGAAAGACTGCAGTGCAGAGGCAAGATAGTCCTGGTCCCCCATGTCCTTCTCTGGCAGGATCTGCTCTCCACCAGCACAGCAAACTTGATGGTGATGGCAAACTTTGATGGCAAGTTGAACATGAGTCAGCAGTGCCCTGGAAGCTGGGAGGGACAACCATGTCCTGGGGGGGCATCAGGCCCAGCATCACCAGCTGGGCCAGGAAAGGGATTGTCCCACTCTGCTCTGGGCTGGGGTGGCCTCACCTCGAGCCCTGGGCACCACAATATGAGAAAGATCTAAAGCTGTGAGGGAGTGTCCAAAGGAGGGACGTGGGGGTGGTGAAGGGCCATCAGGGCTGGAATATACAAGGTCTGTGGTGTCAATAGTTAATAGAAATTATTCTGTGAAGTGTATTGAAAGAGCAGGGCTGTCTTCCTTGGGATTATGGCAATGTGGGACCTGCTAAGTAATAACCAGGAGGTTACTCTGGCACTGGATCCAGTAGCAGTGTCACATGCAAAAGTCTCCAGTTCAGAGGTCTGGATTTTACTGGGACATGACCAAATTAAGTGCTGGCTGGGCCTCTGGGATTGCTCATCACAGAAACGTTTTTTTCAGCTCTAGAATCTTGTAACAAAATTGGGAATCAAGCAGGTTATACCACAAAGATCCCAAGGGCCATTATCACAGCAGCCACTTCTTCTCTTCCCTCCCAGCTCCAAGTGGAACAGGGCAAGAGCTGCCTTGACAGCATTTTCTACATTTCTCCTTTCTGTCCAGGTTTGCTTCTGGAGATGCCAAGCTGAGCTGCAGTGATGATGACAGGGAGCATTTCCAATTCAAAGACATCAGGGATGGCTTCAGCTCGACCTTTGAGAAGATTGTTGAGTCTGACCTTATGAAGGGGACCTACTACAGCAGCCTGGACTCTTTGGACGTGCTGTCCCTCACAGACGAGACTGACAGCTGTGTCAGTTTTGAGGCACCACTCACCCCTCTGATCCAGCAAAGGGCCAAGGAGAGCCCCGAGCTCCTGGAGCAGAAACTGGCAGCCCAGCAGAGAGAAGCCCTTCACCACATGGCTGCTGATAAGCAAGAGCTGGCGGCAGCCAAGCCAGCAGAGGGAGATTTTGGGAGCCCTCTCAGACACTCAATTACCAGCAGCAGGTCAGAGAATGTGCTGAGCCGGCTGTCCTTGAAGAGCATCCCAAACGGATTCCACGTGGAAGGGTCAGAGGAAGATGCCACCAAGATCATTAACTCCATCAGGTAAGGCAGGGACTTCTTTGAACAGTGGTTCCTTTTTTAATGGGATCCCAGTCCAGGAGCAAGGCTTAGTGGGCATGATTGAGTTGGAACTGCTCTTTCACCCTTTGTGCTTCCTCTCATGTGCTGTTGTGGCAGACAGGGCAAACACCAGCAAGAAAACTTTCACCTGCACCTGCAAAGCCCTTGGCAGGTTGGGGAGGGTCAGGTGCCCTCCCAAATGCCTCTGAAGTGCAGGGAAACCTCAAGGTTTCACTTAGGACAAGGTACCCCTACAGAAGCCTCCCCAAAGGTTCTTCTTCAGGCAATGGGGAGGTCAGCAGACTTCATCCTCTAGACCAGCTCAGACCCAAACCATCACCCCTAGGAGACAGCAGCTCATCCATGGGGCACTTCCCTGAATGAGGAAGCCAGGTGATGAGCAACCAGGTCAGGGGAGAGCTGGAGCGAGGTCCTATCTCCAGCTATCAGGGAGCAGTGAGCCACACGGCTCCAAAATGCAGGAATTGGTGCTGTAAGTGGCCTTGGGCAGGAAAATAAAGGGCTGTATCTGCTCCTGGGTGGTGCCAGCAGGGCTGCTCAGGGCTTGTCTGTGGGCACAGCTGGCCATGAGGCCAGCAGGCAACTATGGGAGAGCAGGTCACCAGTAAAAGCTGGTCTGGTTCCAGTCCCATTGACAAAAGTAGTTTCTCATCCTGAAATAACCTGAACTGAAAAGCATAGCATCAGGTTATCCCTAAGATTTCCAGGATGTCCATGGCTTGGGAAGAGCTTGGCAGTCCCAGTGGGGAGAGAGGAAGTTTCGAAGGTGTTGAGGCTGCTTACTTTGATACATCCTCGTTTCTCAGGAGGAAACCGCCCTCTCTCCGACCTTTTCTACCAATTTGGAGTTACACTGCACTATTTAATCTGAGCTGAAATGCAGGAGGGTTTGTCCAACATCCAGTTCTCAGCCATATCGGGTTTTTCTCATAAATTTGGGGGTTTTTTTCATAAGTTTTGGGTTTTGTGTGAGGGCGAGAAGAAATCCAAACGCGGCGTTTTCCGCGGGTTTCGCCTGGCCACGCTGCAGCTCCCCAAACGTTTCTTGTGCCTGCACAGCGACGCCAGCCTGAAGGACACCCTGTCAGACTCGGACTCGGACATGGGCAGCACGGAGCAGCTGGACCAGGGCAGCACGGACACGCTGGCCAACGGCTGCAGGGCGGACAGCGAGGCTGCCAAGAGGTTGGCCAAGCGCCTCTACAACCTGGAGGGCTTCAAGCGCTGCGACGTGGCCAGACAGCTCGGGAAAAAGTAGGTGGGGGGACAGAGACACGGGGGCTGGGGAGCACTGGGAGGGCAGGAAAAGGCAGGAAGGGCCGAGGCTGTGTGTGGTGGATGGAGTCAGGGCTGCTGGAGATCCTTTCCAGTTGAAGCCCAATGCCCTTAAAATATGAATCCTACAAGCTGCCTGTAGTATTTGTTAGGTGTAAACGTGGTGTCTACACCAATTAATTAGTGGCTTGTCTTAACTTTCTTCTGTCTTCACTCAGAGTCAGGATTAGAAACATGAAGGAGATGAATTTCTCATGTTCAGGCTTGGTTGTTTATTAAATCTTATCTAAAGTACAGAGAGTTCTGCAACACTTCTAGCCACCAGCTAAAAGCAAGCAAAGTGGAGGTGAATTTAGCTAGCTACAAGGTCTTTTAAAGCTAAACAGTCCAATAAAGCACTAACACCTATATTATTTATACTTTTGACCCAATAACCAAACTCTTGTGACCCACAGTACAGCACTAACTATCCAACCAAAAACTACTGCCTGAAGTCATGAAGAAGAAGACAGAAAGAAACAACACCAAAAATCCTCCATCTTGCCCCATACCTATTACTATATTCTAAAAACCCCAAACTTAAAACCCTTCACCATGTGAAATCACACACTTCTATTTAATTACACACCCATCATTTCAACTTCATCACTCAAATTTGGAAGCCTTTTCCAAGGCCTCAGGTCAAAAGCAGTGTTCTCCAGGGGGTCAGTGTCACAAAGCACAGAAAACTCAAAAATCCCAGGTTTCTGGGATCCAGCAATTGGGCAGTAAATGTCACAAGCTGCTGCCCATCAGATCCAAGAGCTTCCTGCCTTTGGAAGAGCCCAGCCAGGCTAAAGCAATCCCCAGGCTGAAGGGTTTGGGAGCCAGACCTGCCCTACTCTGGGCTCCTGCCTCTCCCCAGCTGTTTCATGACTGCACCCCAAAATATTCTTGCTGCAGAGCCTCCCAATCCAGTCTGTACGAGGGTAGGAAAGGTTTGCTGGAGAGCCAGGAAACACACAGGGAAGTCCAGGCTCTTCAGCTGGTAGATTTGCCTGGGTAAGGGAGAAGTGAAACCAAAAAATATTCAAAAGTGGGAGAGTTAACAGAGATTTCTAAGAGACAGAGTAACAGTAACAAGTGTAGCAGTAACAGATTATTTTAGGATGGCAGTGGGTGTGAAGGCACCAATCCCCATCATCCTGTGCCTGGATCAGATATAACCTGTGTTGCTGGGATTTCTTTTTTTTTTTTTCTTTTTTTCTTTTTCTTTTTATTTTTTTTTGTCCTTTGAATGTGTCCCTCCTGCCCAGACCAGCAGAACACACCTGTCCTTCAGCAGATACCCACACTTTTAGTACCAAGGCTTGTCTGTGATTCCCAGCTTAGTGCTGGGACAGAAGGAGACCAGGAATTGTCTCCTAGAGAGGCTCTTGGCATCACCTGGCAACATCCTCACTCTTCTTTGCTGAGGTTCTTGTAGCAGGTGCGTTGCTGGTTGCTCTTGCCTCAGGTGTGTAACATCCTTCTCCTTTCTGTCAAATTTGCCATGGAAACTCACAGAGGGGGCAATTTTCAAGCCCTGAGTTTCTGAGTCTGTCCCTTTGCTATTTCCCGCAGTCCTCACACCTTGGGAGGCTGTTTGGTGACCCACATCTGGGAATTGACACAGCCTTTGAAATAAAAGTTTTGTTTTGATCAGCTGGGTTTTGACATCTGAACCATTTCGTGACATGAGACCTAAATAGAGCTGCAGATTCTCGAGTCGTGCAGGTGGATTGGCAGAGCAGAAAATGAAATAAGGTGAAGATAGGTATTTATAGGTATTAATATAAGTATTTGTCAGTGTTGCTCACTTAAGACAATGTAAGACCAACCTATAGTGCTGGGAGCAGACTAAGTTTAAGTAGTGCTTTCAGGCCAACTTTATGTAGGAGGGCTGTACAAAAAGTGAAATCTCTTTTTTCTTTGTGATAATTGGCAATTTTCTAAAAAAAAAAGAAAAGGAAAGTAAACCAAAGCCAAAACTATTCATCATTGTCAAACAGGCAGAAAAGGCTTGACAGACAAGAAAATGCAGATTGGATATCTCCCCACAGTTTGTTTCCATCTGCCTCAATTCTGTGAAATTAACCTCAACCCCAGAGATTACCATTGTCCCACTGAAGGGCAAATGTTTGGGCAACTGAACTCTCCATGGAAGACTCTTGTTCCAGCATTGGTCTGGAGCCCTCTCAGCTCCTTCAGTGCCCACAGTCACATCTTGTGCTGTGGAGGTTGAGCTGTCCCAGGCTGTGAAGGTGGCAGTGCCAGGAACTTCCTTGCAGGGTTTCCCAGAATTGTGCCCACCAGATCCCTGTGGCAGCAGCCCAGGACAGTTCCAGCGTCACAGAGCCCTGGGGTGTGGGGTCTGTCAGGGTCCCAGCCATGGGCAGCACAACGTGGGCACAGGGCCTGGTTTATCCCTGTCTTGCTTTGAAAGACAGATGTCTGCTAAGGAAGGCAGGAGCCTCGCTTGAAATGGAAAATGTAAAGCCCCTGTCTCCAAATTATTATTATTTTGAAATCAAGGGGCTCTCAGGCAAAGATATGGGAATAGGAATAACAGTTCTTTACTAGGAAAAATTAAAATAGAAATAGAGTATTACAAACAATCAAACCCAAAAAACCCCACAAACCCAGAGCAGGGGCAGAGTGAGAATCCAAGGTGCCCCCGTCAGTCAGTCAGGATTGGTGCAGTCCCATTCCATGGTGGCTGCATCCTCCTGCAGTGACAGATGTGGTTCTGCTGGAGCAGGGCTCCTGCACAAGGTGCAGTTTTCCTCCAAAGCTCCAGGGATGATGTGCAAGGCTCTGGTTTTCCTCTGGGATCCAGTGGGAAAAGGCTGCTCTGCTGTTCCAAATCTCCCCTTTGATCTGGGTAGGAAATGCTCGGCTCCTGCCCTGGCTGGAGCATCTTCCAATGGGATGATGGAATTTGATCAGCCCTGCCCTGGGACTGCATGGCCATGAACAGGAGAGATCTCCTGGAGGGAGGATGGGCTGTGGGGAAGATAAAGAACACTGCAACAGCTGGGTGAACAGCTGGTGATAGAATATAAACTTTTGGTCACATCCTGCATTGCAACCCAAGACAATCCCCCTGAGATGAGCTTTTACTCACACAAGCTTCTTATGGATCTGAAGTGACCCAGGTGATGCAAAAAAAGGAGCCCTGCTCTGCAGGGCAGAGGGGTTCAGGCTGTAAAACAACAAATCTTTCCATGTTCAGACACATGGGAATGGACTGGGAGCAAGACCAGGGCTCCTGTGTCCCCCTGGGTGGCTTGTGACCCAGCAGGTCAGTCAGAACTCTTGGTGCAGGCAGAGGGAGGGAGCATCAAACTGGGCTGTAAGGTGAGAGGAGGTCTGCAGAGGCTGAAAGGGCAGCAGGCAGAGGATGCCAAGCATGTCCCCACAGGAAATGCCTCACAGGGCCACCAGCCAGAGCATGGCAGGAATGTCCCCATGGGAAATGCCTTCCTCTCCCTGTAGGAATGTCCCTGTCGTCATGGTGGAAGTGTCACCCATTCCTGCAAGAAGAGCTGGCACTGGCACAGAGACAGAGGAGGATAATTCCTGAGTCAGGAAACCAGAGCAAACATAAAAGCCCATCTTAGGGTGGCACACGGTCCTACCCTGGCCACTGTTGTTATCCCATGGCCTGGGGCATGTTAACTGGCTCTGGAGCTCAGGGAGAAGGGTCCCATCTATGTCACTGAGTCCCTGGAGACACAGGAGTTCGTTGTTTGCAGGGGTGTGGCTGCCTTCTGATGCCCTGTGACTCTGTCCAGTTCCCTTGGCAGAGCCAGCAGCCCCTGCCTGGAGCTCACTGAGCTCTGCTGCTCGTCTCCAGCAGCCACAGGAGCAAGGGGCTCTGGTGAGAGGGTGGGATGGGAGCCTCTGTGGGTGAGAGCAGGAATATTTCAGTGGGAGGAGAGGGCACATCCAGCAGTGGGAGAGAAGCAGGTGTTGGAGGAGCACAGGGTATCCCTGTGGCCTCCCCTGGCTGGTTTGGGAGGAGACTCTGCCTGGCCAGCAGCACAAGGGTGCAGCAGGGCCCGTGTCTCTCATCCTCAGGTGGCTGGGGCTGGCCGTGGGTGCATCAGGGAGGTTTCCAGCAGCATTCCAGGCCAGGAGCAAGCCTCCCTGTGCCTGAGATCATGTCTTGCTGGGATTGGGCTGGCCGAGAGGCAGCATTCTGCTGTTCCTCTTGTGGACAGTGTCTTCTTCTCTGACTAAGGGGCTGACCACTCCCTCTTTAATTACAGTAACGAATTTAGCAAGCTGGTAGCAGAGGAGTATCTCAGCTTCTTCGACTTCACTGGCCTGACCCTTGACAAAGCACTCAGGTGAGCTCTGGGATGGAGAGAGTGGTGGGATTTTGGGGTTTCCTCCAGGCTTACGAGCCATCCAGGTGACAGGAGCAGGGACTGGGGGGACATACAGGCTGTCTTTCAATCCCTGGTGTCACGTTTGGTACAGGGTGCTGCCTCCAAAAGTGGGCTTCAACAGGAGGGCCAGGGTGGAGAGCATCTCTCCCAGGAATCAGAGTCAGAGCGAGTGGGAGCAATTTTTTTCCTTGGGATTAGCAACCCGTGCTGGTGCCATCAGACCCAAGGTGGATCAGATCCCAGCTGGCAGCACACTTCACTGCACAGCTCCACGGGGCTGGGGGGAGGATAAACGACCCCTTTCCGTGTCCCACCTTAGCCCAGCAGTACCCTGAGCACCCCTTTCTCTGTGCAGGACGTTCCTGAAAGCGTTCCCGCTGATGGGAGAGACGCAGGAGCGGGAGCGGGTGCTGATCCATTTCTCCCGGCGCTACTGCCAGTGCAACCCCGAGGAGAGCACCTCTGAAGGTACAGCTTCCATTCCTCTGGCTCCTGGCCACTCCACAGGGCACCTCTGCACGGAGCTGGAGTGCAGAGCCAACCAGGTTTTCCCTTTCCCGAGGATCCTGCCCTGGTTGTTATCCCTGCCCGGGGAGGGGCTGGAGATGCTGGGTGCTGGCAGACCCCCCAAAGACAGCCAGAGCATGCCCAGCTCACAGCACTGAGAATGCAAACACATTCTGGCACATGGAGTGGTCCTCGAAGGGCCTCACAAAACGGCTGGAGAGCACCAGGGAGGAGGCAGGGACTGCAATATTGCTTTCACAAGCAGCTGCTTTGGGTTTAGAAGTGGGAAGTTTGGTGTTTTAAAGGAAAACTGCTTTGAAGCCAATTTTATGGTCGTTGTTTTAGGAAAAGGTAAACTCTGAGGGGAAAGAAGAATCTCTGGAGGGTTTCTGTGTTGTTTGTTTTGGTTTTTTCTTAAGTTCTACACAGCTGAAAGGAGCAGATACTCTTTAAGGTCCCCAGACACAACAACTGGCCTTGGTTTTGCAATAGCTGGGCTGCCAAGGCAGCAAACACCAGAAGTGCACGAGAAGGGGGGGTAAGCCACAGCTGTGTGACTGTTGTGTGTTGCAGATGGGATCCACACACTCACCTGTGCCCTGATGCTGCTGAACACAGACCTCCATGGCCATGTAAGTAGCCCTTGCAGGAGCATCCACCCTTTATTCCTTCCCAGGGTAGAGCTCTGTTTGTTCCCTGACTCTGAGTGTGTTGCTGGATAGTTGAGATGTGTTGGCAGAGAGTTCTCTGACCTGCTCCAGGCGGAATTTTGGGTGCCAGGTCCAGACCTGAGTGTCACTGCACTCGTCCTGCTGCCATCAGTTATCCTGTCCAGGGACAGGCAGTGCTGCTTCCTCTCCTGCTGCCCAGCTCAGCCCTGTCCCAGGAGCTCTCAGTGAGGTCTCCCCTGCCAGTCCCTGTGGGGCTGCTCCTTCTTGCTCCCCAAAAAACTGCTGCAAGGGGGCCAGTGGGTTTACACAGGTCTAGATTGGATCTTTCCTTCCCAAAACATGAAGTGAGTTCCAGCTGTTCCTTTTCCCCAAGATGTAACAGGCAGCCACTGGGGAGTTTCATAGCAGAGAGGCCTCTGCACAGAGAGCAGAGTGAGCAGAGCTCAGTGCCCAAAAGAGTGGCTGGAAAAAGCTGGAAGCTGTGGGAAGATCTCTCACCACCTTTTGGAGGCTCCCAGTACCTGTCTCTGCACACAGTGGTGGGATCAGTCTCATAGAGCATTCATCCTCCAGACAAAATGGTTGGAGCCAAGGAATTATTTCCATCAAATCATTTCCTGGAGCAGCAAAAGCAGCATTGTGGCAAAAGGCAAACTATGTGACTTCAATCCAAAATAATCTTATTTTGTCTAGCTTTTTTAAGTTAAAAAAAAAATAAATCCAAAATATGCCTCTGGGAAGATAGACATAATTGAAGAGACAAAAACCCAACCAAAACCTCAAAAACCTCACCATTTCTATTCTTCATTGACAAGCTGGCTCAGAGGCCTGGTAAGAAGAAATGTTCTCATGATATCTAGGCACAGAAAAAATAGCTTTCTTTTGACCAGGTGTGCAAATGCCTGAGCTTTTCTTTGAAAAATCTTCTCTTTATTTTTCTGCATGTGTAACATTAATTTCTCCTTCTCCTTTTCCTCCTTTTTTTTTTTTTTTTTTTTAAATTTCCTTCTGCTCCTGGAACCTCTCTTTCTGCTCTTTAACCCTTTACCAGGTGGTAAGTGCAGTCCTTCTAGTGTTTGGCTTTAAAACACTGGCATTTGACTTGTTTTGATTGTGTTAAAAACAGTGAGGAATTTTGTTTGTCTGGAATCCTAAGTGATTGTGCAGTGTTCTTCCCTACTTAGCAAGCCATTAGCAGCTGATACCATCACATGAAATGCTCCTGGTGTAAAGAAACCTCCATGAACTGTGGTGTACCTGGGAATGTGTGACTCGATCCCCACCCCTCCTTGTTAGAGATGCTGCCATGATATTCCATGTCACTTTTGATTTTATTTCCCTTTTTGATGTTGTGTGTGTGTGTTGCAGTGTTTTACTGTGCATTGCTGGAGTGGGAGATGCCCTCGGTGAGGAAAGGGGGAGGATGTGTGTCTGTAAAGGGGCAATTCCTCACAGCAATGACTCTGGCAGGGTCTAGTTCACCATTCCAGCAAAGACCTGACACCCAGGGTTAGAACAGGGGATTTGCTCCTGGCCTTAGAACTTGGTTTTCTACTCAGGTGCACTCAGACCGCGTTTCTAAACCACCCAGAAAAGTTCAAAATGACACATTCCCAATTCATGGAAGCACCTGGAGTTGGTGTTAGAAGCCAGTGGTCACCAACAAACATTCCAAATATAACAAGCTTTCCAGGACTGATGGAGTGGCTACCTAGAACAGAGGCCAGACAAGGTTAAGAGAATAAAAGCAGGTATTTACTGAAGGCCTTCAATAGATACCTTGGGCAGTCAAAAGCCTCCAGGGGCTACACCCAAGATGGTCACGGGTTTTTCACACAATTAAAAGTTTGGTTCATTTACATATCAGGGGTTAATTCTCCAATTACAGCTTCAGGTAATGAAGTAATTTACTCCAAGTTTGCCCCCGCAATTCACTGTTGTTTACATTTCTCAGGGCCTGAAGACAGTGAGGTTTTCTTGATTTTCAGGCCTAGAGAGAAATTGTTTTATCTCAATGAAATGGGAGAACAGGAGCTGACAGGCTATGGAGTTTTAGAGTTATACACTAAAGCAGTTCAGGATCTGAAAAATATAAAAGCTAAATCCTAAACCTATCAGGACTATACATGTAGGATAATCCAAGTTGTTGCAACTTTCTGCCTTGCTCTGCTGGTGCTGTTTGAGCTCCAGGACATCTCATGGCAAAGCAAGCAGTGCCCTGCTCCATCTCAGCTCTGGGAGACAAAGCTTAGGGCTGGGTCCTTTCCACTGTCACTGTTGGCCCTCCTGGCCGTGGGAGGACAGTGACAGATCAGAAACTTTGCCTCACCAGCACTCAGGGGTGCATTTTGGTCCTTTAGGAAAAGCCACTTTCTGGAGTAATAAGGGGATTTGTTCAAAAAACAGAGCATCAAACAAAGCTTGAGATGGGATCCTGGGCAGGTCCTAACTCCATTTGTCCATCACTATTAATCTTACATTCCCTGTGTTGCCTGGAAAGGCTGAGCTGGAACAGAGACCAGACAGAGCAAAAGGAATAAAATCGGGATTTATTGAAAGGATTCACCTCAGGCAGTGCAAGAGCCCGGCCAGGGCTACACCCAAATCAAACCCAAGAAGGATCCCAGTCACGAGTTTTACACTTTTATCAGTTTTGGTTCATCTGCACATTGGGGTCAATGATCCACCCACAGCCCCAGGCTATGAAGTCTCAGCCCCTGCCTTGCCCCCTTTCCCTCGCTGCTGTTTCTGCTTTTTGGGTCCCAGCTGTCCTTGATTCTGCAGCTAGAAAGGAATTGTTTTGTCTGATTCCCCTGTGAAGAGAGCTCACACCTAGTATGAAGTTTCAGAGTCACACACTAAACAGCAGAGATTCTGAAAAACAAAAGCTAAAGGCATCCCTGTGGTAGTGTCCTTAAGCCGAGCTCAGGGCTCAGCAGCACAAGGAGGGCTGGGGAGCTCCCAGGTGTGAGCATCACCCCTGGCATCACCTGCCCACAGCAGGTCTGTGTGCCCCAGGGCCCACTGGTACCCAGAATTTGCAGGTTGGTTCCTTGCAGGGCTGTGATTTTGTTGCTGCAGCCTAGAACACCTCCAGGACCAGATCAATTACTCAGCAATTAGCTGCTTTTGCACAGCGTGGCTCCTGCCCAGGTGAGCTCAGAGGTCTCAGAGAGAGAGAGAGCTCACACAACAAAAAGGAAGGCGTCCCTTGGGATGAATGTGAGCCCCAGACACGAACATGAGAAACCCAGAAAGGGCCTGTGAGAGTGGTGATTTGTGTTATCTCACTGTATCCACTGCTTCCAAAAGAGCCTTGGCCTCTGCATGCAGTGCTGAATCACTCTTTGGGCGCAGTGCTGTGCTCTCTGATCCCTGTCTCAGGGCAGGGCTGGGAATAGGCACCAATTCTGTGCTCCAGGTCTCGGGCAGCACCTGCCTCACCTCCAAACTCCCTTCTGGAGGCTCCTTGCCCTCCTTCCTTTCTCCACCCACGCTCTGTTGTGCTGCTGGATTTTTCCTTTCTCTTTTGTGTCCGAAATTCCATGGCCAGCGAGCACACAGATCTCTCCTCTCTGCTGAAATCCCTGCATCTCTGCTCATTTCCTGAGCCCTTTTGCAGCCCCTGTGCCCACTGAACACTGGCTGGCAGCTCTGGCTAATGGGGCTCCCCGGGACAAAGCCACCAGGGCCGAGCTGTGTTGTGCCACACCACATCCCCAGGCACTGCAGATTTGTAACAGTGCTTTACTCCTCTTTTTCTTGATCTCTCAAGGGAGCCAGCTCATCTGGAGCTGGCAGCAGCAGGAGGCATAATTAAGAGTATCAGACAGAGCTGCTCAAAGGCAGAGCTTGGCTCCCTGTGCAGCCCAGAGTGTTTGCACACACAGAAGGCAGGGGGTGCAGGGGAGGCATGGTGATTTAATCCCAAGGCCTCTCTTCTTCCTGATGCTTTCATCTGGGGAGAAACCCCCAGGTCATCTGCACTGCACGTTTGTGGGCAGAGGTTTCTGCTGTCGTCTCTTTCAGGAGGTTATTTCCTTGCACAGAGGACACATCTCTCCCTGCAGGGCATCTCCTGTATCACCTGCTGCAGCTTCATCCCCTGCCAGACTCACCGAGGCCCTTCCTCTTCCTCACTGAGCCCTGAGCAGGGCCTGGCTCTGCTGTTCTGGGCCATCCTCCCACGTCCTCCTGGGAGGTCACCCTGCCCATTCCCTAATGTGAAGCCCAACAAGGTCAGGATGCTGTTGGGATCCTCAGGACCACTGGTGGCAGCTCCTGCTGTCCTCACTGCCCCCTCCAAGCGATGCCACCAGGGTCTGCCCCACACACTGGCCACGTGAAGGACACCACATGACACTGGAGACACCCATCTTTCCTTTGTGACATCAGACTCCTTTTTCTGAGCCCTGTATTTGCCACTGACTCCTCCACACCTCTGCTCCATCCCTTTGGAGAGGTAGGATTGCAGGGGAGGCTTGGGAAGAGGCTGCCTGCCTCAAGCCTTGCAGGCTGAGGAAGTGAAGGCTGAAGGGTTTGGGAAGACAGATGCCACAGATGATGAAGCCATGACATCAGGGATGCCAGGTGGCCTGGAAGCATCAGTACCAAATGTTGCTGGCATTAGCTGGTGCTGAGTGTGTTCCAGGCTGTGAGATTCTCCCAGTGTGCATGTTTTGCCCTCTCCACAGTACCAGTAGCTGGACCATTTCTTTTTGTTATGGCAATCAAAAATAACAGCTTCCATCAAGGGCCAGCATCCCCCTGCCCAATGCTGGCTGTTCCAGGTGCTGGCACTGCAAGCTCACACAATTTCACTCACAGCAGGCTTGGAGCCCCATCCAAACATTGTCATTTCACCAGGCAGAGTGCTTGTCTTGAGTTTTGAGACACAGAGCCCAGGACCACTCCGGCAAGAGCTGGAGAGGTTATTTTCAGGTGTCTTATTTCCACCATTAAAAAAGAGGTAATTTGAAACATTTGTATGCTGGCATGAGCAAATAAAGCAGAGAGCCCAACAGAAAATCAGATCAGAAGCCCTTTGAGCTCTTGGGAAAAGCCCAGGCTTCATCATTACATATAAAATTATTCTTTGAAAGACACTGATTAAAGTCAGAACTCTCCACAAGTTTAATGAGCTGCTTCTTTGCCTTACAGAACATTGGCAAAAAGATGTCGTGCCAACAGTTCATAGCAAACCTGGATGGGCTGAACGATGGGAAGGACTTTGCAAAGGATTTGCTGAAGGTAATGTGATATACATACACAGTGGGATACTGTCATTATTATTGCAGTGCCACCTAGTCCTGCTGGGACACTCTGAGCCCTTCAATCAGCATTTTCCAGTTGTTTCAGGAGAAGAATTGTAACTCTCATGATTGTCTCTGCTAACTTGCAGTGAGCCACAATAGGTCTGTTCCCTGGTGGTGTTTTATCCAGATTTGAGGCATATCTTCCCTCAGAGCATACCAAGGGTCCTTTTCCCCCAGCAGCTCAGATAATGCCCAAAGCAAGGAACTCCTCACCCCAAAACACAACCATCCAGCAGCAAAACTTTTCTCTGCCCCCACTAGCACGTGATGAAATGTTCCAACACAACCAGTGCAGTACCATGGGATATGGTTAAACATCCCAAAGGGAGTATTTTCTCCTGCCACATGGTTTAGCAGCACCACTGCTCTCTGCACCTGCTGCAGGCCTGACCTGAATTTCCCTGTGTGGAAGGAGGTTGGAAGGAGAAGTGCCACATCAGGGGTGTCACATCATGTTTGGGGTGGCATCCCCATCTCCCAGCAGACCTCACCCTATCCTGCCCCTCTGTATGGTCAGGACCACCCCCACATTCTGCTCTGCCAGCTCATTCCTGCTTCTTTTCCAGTGCCCCAGGGAAGCCACTGGAGTTTTGCACAGAAGGAACTGGAAAAGCTCATTCCAAGGTCATTCATCCCTCCCCTGCTACTCACTTCAAGCCTCCCCTGTCATTTTGCCTAGTTCAGACATGGAAGGTGTCATGGCATAATCCTGAGGCTTCTACCACTGTGTGTAGGCCAGGATTCACTCAGAACTGGGTGCAGCACCCAAAATGAGTCAAAAACATCATATTCAACATTCATACCTCCTGAGCAGGGCTGGCTGCCAGAGCCCTGTGCTGCTGCTGTGTCCTGCCCAATACCCAGTGTGGACACAGAAGGAAGGGGTCCAGCAGGACAGGAGCCATCCTGCTCACCAGGAAATGCCTCTCCAGGACAGTTCAGCAGGGAAAACATCTCCAAGAGCACAGACAGGGTGTGGAGGAGGAGATGTCTCCACAAGCAGACAAGAGTTCCATGAGAGACACAGCTAATTCCATGTTCTTTTTTCAGACTCTGTATAACTCCATCAAGAATGAGAAGCTGGAGTGGGCCATGTAAGTACTTGCTGAGCATTAAAGGGGTAGTGTGTCTTTCCCAGTAGCTGGCAGGTCCTAAGTCATGTTTTCAATCCCAGAATATTTCCTGCCAAGCCCTTAAGTGCTGAAGTCTCTCTGTAGACAAATGGAGTTTATTTATGGATTAGACACAAAGGCAGCTGGGAAGGTTGGTGGCAGTCTGTGGATCCGTGGCCTAAAGGAAGGGAATGCCCTTTGTTTACTGTTACACTTGTAAAATGCTGGTTCCTCTCCAGGTGCTTCAGAAGTCTTTGCACAAGCCTAGATCTGGGGTTATTTTGGTCACTGAGACTTTCCATCTCTCCCACACGTTTTGGGGTTTTTTGTTTGTTTGTTTGTTTTTGTATTTTTTTTTTCTGGAAATAGTATCAGAGAATCACCTAAGAAGGAAGAGACTTTGTGATATCTCTAGTTCAGCTTCCTCCTCAAATTATGGGCAACGTTGAATTCAGACCAGGATGCTCAGGACTTTAATTTGATCCTGAAACCCCTCCAAGGACAGGGAACCCACAGCCCCTCTGGATTCACAAACCGATATTTTATTATTGTAGAGTGTCATTTTCTTTTGTGTCTGTTGTTTTGACTTCTGCCCACTCTCTCCTGTCCTTGTGCCATGCACCACAGTGAAGATCCCAGCTTTGTCCTCTCAATAACCCCCTCACACCAGGCTGCCATGAGGTCCCCCAAAGCCACCTCTTCTGCAGATTGATCAAGTCCAGTTCTCTCAGCTCTTTCTTACACTGCAAGCGCTGCAGCCCCCAGGTTTCCTGGCCTCAGCTGAAGTTCTCTCATCTTGCTGATGTCCTTCCCTGTGCTGGGGGCACTGTTTGCTCCATCACGATATGATGCGGGGAGTGCAGAGCAGACGATCACTTCTCTTCTCCTCCTCACTGTGCCGCTGTTACACAGCCCAGGATGCTGCTCCTGCCCTCTGCTCCTGCCAGGACACGCTGCCTGAGTGATCCTGATCATCCTGCTCATCACCCCGAGCACTCGGCTGCTCCCGGCCCTCTCAGCCGTGGCTTTGCACCCCTCTTTTTTATGCCATCTAAAAGTTCGATGAGATCATCATTTGTTACCCTGAAACGAGCCTGGAAACAGCTGGAAGGGTGGGCTCCATCCCAGGTTCACCAGCACCTTCCTCAGTCCTTCTTGCCTTGCTCTGCCACTCAGAGCACAGCCCAGGAGCATCAGCGAGGTCCCCCAGCCAAATGTCCCTCGAGGGGAAGCCTGTGACAGACCTGATGTCTTAAGCTGACACAGGGGATGCTCCTCTCTCCTCTCCTCTCCTCTCCTCTCC